ACACGACGATCACGCAACGATGACGCGACGATGGACGCGACAGTCACACGACGGTGGCGCGACCCGCGTCGGGTCGTTGAGCTGACCTACTGACCAGCTGTAGATCCTAGCGAGGGATTTGGTTGGAAACTGCGGAGCGAGGGATTTGGTTGGAAACTGCGGAGCGAGGGATTTGGTTGGAAACTGCGGCGCCGCTTACTGTGCGCAGTACTGACGTTTCACTTATTGCGTGGAGTGTTCGCTGTCGATGGACAATAGAGGGAGCTAATTGTGGCGGTTATTAAACTTGTAATTTTTAAATTGAAACAGATTGAGGTTGCATATTACATAATATGTCTATTTGTATGTATATATATATATATGGAATAACAAGAGCTTATAATACCTACACATTTTGCATAGCTCTTATATATAGGTTTAACTTTATATACGTAATATGTAGAATTGTAAGTATTGCGCTGTTGGTATAATGTATTACCCATGCACATACACATGCGCACGTGTTACCTTATAAATTTATTTTACAAACAAACAATTTAGTGTATTAAATTAATAATTGTAATTTATGTTATTAAATATTAACTGTTTGCATTTATTTTGCGCAGGCAAAGGAATAATTGTAATATATGATATTAAATAGTAATTATTTGCATTTATTTCGCGCAGGCAAAGGAGAGTTTGGCGACGTGTTTCTCGCGAAGGCCGCTGGCATCCAAGATGGCGACGGTGAGACGGTTGTCATGGTGAAGTCGCTGCTGGCGAAGGACGAGCTCGCTCAGTTTGAGTTTCGCCGTGAGCTGGACATGTACAGCAAGCTGGAGCACCCGAACCTCGTCGCCCTGCTCGGCGTCTGCAAGGAGAGGGAGCCACTGTTCACGATATTCGAACACACCGACTGGGTGAGCGATGCAGATCTGTTCGATTCGGAGGCTGGAAACGATGCTTGATGATCATTCGACTTGTCCGCTTTTGAAAGATTGCAGGGGTTGGTCAACAACTGGGGACTCTTCTGCAAAAACGTGCTAAAGGCTCCAGAAGTGACAACTCCAGTTATCATTTCACCACTCCTAGTGATACAGATACTAATATTATACTGATTAATACTATACTGCTTATATAATGATGTACTATACTATTACTGTCCCTTTCTGCGTACGCATTAAAAGTAATAAAGGCTACCGTAGCTGTAAGTGTGATGCTGATGAGAGAACGTGGGCAAAGGGTTTAACTCTCATCCTCCTTCCCTCCCGTGCATTAGACAAGTTTAGTGATAAATGCTACCATAATTGTAAGTGTAATGCTGATGTGAGAATTTGAATGGTGTGTGCAGGGAGATCTGAAACAGTTCCTGCTGGCCTCTCGCAAGGAGAATCTGAGTAAGAAAAAGGCCCCACCACTGACGCTCGCCCAGATGGTCTCTATATGCCACCAGGTGGCGCAAGGAATGGAACATCTGGCCAATCACAGGTGAGTCAACTACAAACCTTGGAACAGTTGTTCTTAAACGCCGGGTTGCTATCCAATGTTTGTTCATGCAGAGATTTTTAGTCACCAGTTACTGTCCCAAGTTTGACTTATGTCCAACTTGCATAGAACGCGGGGAGATATGCTAGACAGAATTTTGGGTTTCAGCCAAGAACTGTTAAGAACCACTCTGCTAGTCTCCCTTCGCTATATAACCATCACACATGTTGGAAGTTAGTCTGTCTTCAACATGTTGTGCCGTGAGAGCACAGCTTTTTTACATATAATCTCTACGGCTATTTTTGTCTTTACGGATTGGTGACATTTCGTAACAAGTGCGTTGAAATCCAAACGGGGTAGTGTCAGTGGATATGTGCCCCTTAGACACAGCAATGATGCTGTCGTCATAATTTTACCACGTGCGTGCATGCTAACGCGTCATTGATCTCTCACGCAATGATGCTGTCGTCATAATTTTACCACGTGCATGCATGCTAACGCGTCATTGATCTCTCACGCAATGACGCTGTCGTCATAATTTCACCACGTGCGTGCGTGCTAATGCAGTGACACCAAGCTGTCGCGATTTTTCCGTGTGCACACATGCTAATGCATCGTTGATCTCTCGCACAATGACACCACGCTATCGTCATAATTCTCCCCGTGCGTGCGTGCTAATGCGTCGTTGATTTCTCATGCAGTGACTCCGCGCTTCGTCGTGCGTCCGTCCAACACGACAGCGAAGGAGGGATACGAGGTGATGCTGCACTGTGCGGCCGAGGGCGACCCGAAGCCAACAATACAGTGGGACAAGAACGGACATCTCAGCGACTTCGACAAGAAGCGATTCGAGGTGGGTTGATCGATGGCGCTGACGTTCCGTCGTCGTCAACGGAATTTCGGCGATAGGGTGTGACGTCGCGAGTCTGAAATGTCGCCGAATTTTAAGCGAAGCGTCGTGCAAATGTCGTTACGTTTTAGACTCGTGATGGTTTTGCGAGTGTTTATGATGTTTCTGACATGATGGGTCGCTGGTGGAGGGCTCTTTTCAGAGGGGCCAACTTCTCGAATGTGCACTCTTGGTAGTTTTGTTCTTCTAGTTTTGCATCTAAAGAATCTGTTCATTTGTTACGTTTCAAGAGGCGGATGGCTCTGTAGATGGCTATGGATATTTATTTTCGAATTCTGTAGCACTAGTAGTGTAGTGGTGTACTCGGTGATTTTGATTTCTAGCATTCTAGTCTTTTTCTTTCTTTAGATGGAAGTTAGTACGATGGGTGGAAGGGAATTTGTCTATTTTTATCATAAATACTTCTCTCGATTAAATATTTTATGTAATATTAACTATGACAACTTTTATGCGTCCTCTTTAAGCATCGTTTCTTTAATTATTTGACTCTTCCACTATAGTTGCACCCATTTTTTTAATCTTCCATGCAGCTTACAAACAGAAAGGGGTTGCTTAGTGACCTTGATACAGAGAGGTTTGAGGTTGGTATGCTAAATGTTTTGTTGCCGAGTTCACTAAGGCAGATCTCTATATCATTTTAAGTTTATGAGTGGAATGACTGCATCTGCATGCGTTATAGCACACGGCCATCTTTTATTGAAATCTTTGATAACGGTCTTAATTACTCGAGTGAACTGGATTCATTAAGTTATTGGAATGATTCCGAGAAAGACCGGCTAACGAGGAGAGTGGATAGCTGAGCACTGTTAAACTATTGATTACAGATTGACTGTTAATATTACACAATATTATTCCTAAAAAATTATTCTGTCAATATTGTGAACGTACAAATCTGGTAATGTGCAAGAATGACATCAACATGACTGTTCAGTTATGATGAATTCAACCCAATTTACGTCTTATTATCTAATAAGAGTTGGAATTATAGGCCCCATAATCAACTAAAATTTGGCCCTAGTCGACAAATAATAATGCTCTCTCCTAACTGATATTGATTTGACATGATTTTGCATGCTTTTCTAATCAGGCAAATACGTATAATAATAATAATAATAATAATAATAATAATAATAATAATAATAATAATAATAAGTATAAAAACATAATGAGTTTTGGCACTCGGAAATCCTAGCAATCACTATGGCATATTTCCCCATCTCCTCTTTCTGCCGAGTTTTAAACTTCACTCTGTCTGCTACCACGACTGTTCGGTTCTGTTCTGTTTGAACGTTGGCACTGCAATTTTCGTCAAAAAAGTCATAAACCACTGAAATTTCAGAATTTTTTTTTTAAACGAACTGAAACATTATATAAAAATTCCGCCACCTACGACGTGTACGAGGACTAATGTCAGCGAGTCGCACGGTCGATGCGTCGATCGCCACGGTGACGGTCGTTTGAGATGTGGTTGTGTGGTTGTCGTGACACAGGTGCTGCAGAACGGCTCGCTGTACGTGAAGGAGCTGTACCTCGACGATGCCGGACGATATGGCTGCACGATCGGCAACAGCGGCGGCTTCAAACGCGACGAGGTCACGCTCTACGTGAGAGGTAAGGTCACGCGTGCGTGCGATAGGTAAGACTGTGCAGTGAGAGGTAAAGTCGCGCATGTGAAAGGAAAGACTTGCGTTCTCGCGTGTTACATGAGAGGTAAGGTTAAGCTCTTTGTGAGAGGTAAGGCTATGCTCTACGTGAGTGGTGAGGCGACGCGTGCGAGAGGTAAGGTTGTGCGGTGAGCGGTAAGACTGCGCGTTCTCATGTGTCCCGTGAGAGGTAAGGTCACTACTCACTACTGCTACTACTACTTATAATAATGATAGTAATCATAATTACAGTAAGAGTAATCACTACTGCTACTAATAATAATATTAATAGTAATTGTAGTAACAGTAACAATAATCGGCTGTCATCTCGCACAGGCAAGGACGAGGGCGTGATGACAAAGACAATCATCATCGCTGTCGGATGCGCTGCCGGCTACATCATCCTCGTCGTTGGCCTTCTCATCTACTGCAAGGTCCGCCGCGCCAAGCAACGCAAGCAGGCCAAGGCTGACGAGGCTGAGGTTGAGGGTATGATGACTAGTAAGCATGCGTTCCATCTTTTATCTCTCGCTCTCGCGCGCACTCTCTCTCTATTTCCCCCTCAAAAGGGACAAAATCTGACTTCCAGATGCTCTCATGCATTCTTGGTTTGGCTCGGAATCCCAGCTCACCCGGATGATTGACAGGGTGTGAGTGCGCGATGTTTTAACGTCGGCTTATTGTTTTAACATGTTTCTATATTTTGTAATTTTGCGGGCACTGGTCAGAGGTTTTTGCACCTTCATACCCAGGAGGGGGGGGAGCACTCGCCCCACATTATGGTAGGTATGTGCCACTGCGAAGTCAAAAATGGGGGGCTCTGGAACTAATGTTTATTGAATGTGGGATGCTCTGGAACTGGCTATGTTCGAAAATGGGGGTCTCCGGAACTAAGATTTCGTTGAAATGCAATGCTATGGAATGGACGAAGTTCATCATCGGATGTAAATAAACAAGAACAGCAGCAGCAGCTGACCATCCATCCATCCATATGCGCATGCATTGCATGCATACCTTCACGGCCCGGTTTCAACGTGTTCTGAAGTACGATGCACTGGAACGAAAATGTTAAAAAATAGGGTCTCCGGAACGGCAAAAATGTAAGATCTGCATGGTAACTAAACTTGTGATGCTCTGGAACGAGATATTCTTAAAAATGCGATGCACTGGAACGGAAGTTTAGGGTTGAAAAGGGGGGTCTCTCCCGCGGCACATACCTACGGTACCATGCAATATATATTGAGTGCCCCCCCCCTGGGGCCTACGTACTGCAGGGGACGACATGTGCTCGCAGCACCTATATAAGCCAGGTCCTGTCGCTTTAACTAACAACGGGTGGTTGCCGATCACAGTTTAATCAATATTCGTAACAAAAATGTCGAGTACAATGCTTGTTGATTGCATGAAATGACTAATATCATTGACGGAGTGAAGGAGGCGTACATTATTAGAGGCAAAACATCGAGCGAAAACGTGAAATGTCGAGTGAAATGCTTGTTGATCGCATGTAATGACTAATTTCATTGTCGGAGTGGAAGAGGCGTGCGTTAGTAGAGGCGTTTGTGTTACTGAGTCGATTCTGACACACGTCTCAATTGTTTCGTGTGTGTAGCTTTAATAGCGTGCTGGCACACGGAGTGATGTGATGATTCAACAGCTGCTCTACAATGTCCGAGCATCCGAGCTGTTGCTCTTGCAACGATTTAAACAAGGATTTGTTTCTCACGTTTACAACAAACAGTTGATTTTTTAACATCTTCGATTCTCGCCAGCTTCCGAAAATTGGCGCCCGTGCATCTATAAGCGAGCGTTGTCACGTAGCGTACGCTCGCTCCCGACCGTCCATTGCACTAACTCATCCATCGTTTCTTCGTGTCGCTTCAGATAACAGACAAGAGAACGGCACTGTGCCGAACGCGGCGACGGAGCTGAAGACAAGCGGCCTTGGCGGCGGCGACGCGTTGCTTAGCGACGGCACGGGGAGCTCGCACTCGAAGAACCGGGCGAGCTACGACCGACTGCAGTTTCCGCGACAGGACCTCAACACTATAGGCATGCTGGGTGAGCGACGGTGACGCGACGGTGACGCGACGTTCACGCGACGATGGCGCGACGTTCACTCGACGATGACGCGACAATGACGCGATGGTGACGTGACGATGACGCGACGCGTCACGATGACGCGACGGTCACGCAAAAGGTCATGGCGACGATACACGACGTTCATACGCAAACGATGAGCGCAACGCGTCATGCGACGATGACGCACGATGACGCAGACGATCGACGCAGGACGAGTCACGCGAGGATGACGCGCGCACGCGACGATGACGCTGACGGTCACGCGATCGACTGACGACGCTGTCCACGCGACGTTGACGCGACGTCACGCGACGCATGACGGACAATGCACGCGGTACGATTGACGCGACGGTGCACGCGCGATGACGCGACGGGCACACGACATGAACACGACGGTTCACCACGGTGACGCGCGGTCAGCCGACGATACCCGACGATGACGCGACGATGACGCGACTGGTCACGCGCACGATGACTGCACTGCGTCACTGCGAGGTCACGCACGTCAAGCGACGATGGCGCCGACGATGACCGCGCGGTCACGCGACGGTCACGCAAACGATGGGCGCGACGGTCACGCCGATACGCGTACAGTCAGCAACGACGATGACGCGAACGTCACGCGACGTCACGCCAGGTCACGCGACGGTCACGCGCGGTGAAGCCGGACTGATGTACGGCGATGTCACGCAATGATGATCACGACGATGACCGACGATACACGACAAGCGACCGATGGTCACGCAACGATGACGACGACGAAGACGCGAACGGAGGACGCGACGATGACCACGATGACACGACAATGACGCGGATGTCACACGATTCTGCAGGTGCGCGACCCGCCTCGGTCATAGAGCGACCTACTGACCAGCTGTAGAACCCTAGCGAGCGGATTGCGGGAAACTGCGTGCCGGTACCTGTGCGGAGAGACTGTTTCACTATTCCGGGAGTGTTCGGCTGTTCCACGACAAATAGGAGCGAGCTAATTGAAACAGAGTGAGTGCACATATTACATAGTGCTATTGTATGATACATATGATATATGCAATAACAAGAGCTTATAATACCTACACATTTGCATATGCTCGCTATATATAAGTTAACTATTATATACGCTAATATGTAATTGTAAGTTATTGGCCTGTGTATAATGATATTTACCCACCACATACACAGCGCATGTGATTACCATTATACATTATTTGACAAACAAACAATTAGTGCTATAAATTAATAATGTAATTATGCTATAGAAATTAACTGTTTGCATTTATTTTCGCAGGTCAGATAGAATATGTTAATAGATATAGAATAGAAATTATTGCATTTATTCGCGCAGGCAAAGGAGAGTGCGACGGTTCTCGCGACAAGCCGCTGGCATCCAATGATCGGCACGGTGTGAGACGGTTTGTCATGGGAAGTCCCTGCTGGCGAAGAGACCGATGCGTCGCTCAGTTGTGAGGTTCGCTCGCGGCTGATATGTACAGCAAGCTCGCACAATCCGATACCGTCGTCGCCCTGCTCGGCCGTCTGCAAGGAGGCGGAGAGCACTGTGTCACGATATTCGAACACACCGACTGGGGGAAGTGCATGCAGATCTGTCATTCGGAGGCCGGAAACGAATGCCTTGATGATCAGTGCGACTGTTCTCGCTGTTTGAAGATGCCAGGGTTGGTCATACAAAACTGGGGACTCTTCGCTGCAAAAACGTGCTAAAGGCTCTCCAGAAGTGCAAAACTCCAGTTATACATTCACCACCCTAGTGATACAGATACTAGATTATACTAATAAACTATAGCGCTTATATAATGATGTACTTACGATACTTCCGCTTTCTGCAGTACGCATTAAAAGGTGATAAAGCTACCGCTGCGCTGTAAGTGTGATGCTGATAGAGAACGGGGCAAAGGTTTAACTCTCCACCTCCTTCCTGCCGCTGCGTGGCTGTTAGACAAGTCTAGGATAAATGACTACCATGAATTGTAAGTAGATGCGATGTGAGAGATGTGCAATGGTGTGTGCAGGGAGATCTGAAACAGTTCCTGCTGCCTCTCGCAAGGTAGAATCTGAGTAAGAAAAAGGCCCCACCACGACGCTCGCCCAGCATGGTCTCTATAGGCCACCAGGTGGCGCACAGGAATGGAAGCATCTGTGCCAATCCACAGGTGAGTCAACACAAACTCTTGGAACAGTGTTCTTAAACGCGCCGGGTGCTATCCAAGTTTGTTCATTGCAGAGATTTTGTCACCAGGTACTGTCCCAAGTTGACTTCTATGTCAACTTGCACTAGAAGCGGGGAGACAGCTAGACAAATTTTGGTTGCAGCCAAAACTGTTAAGAACCACTCTGCCTAGTCTCCTTTCGCATATAACCTAATCACATATGTTGGAAGTTAGGCTGTCTGTCAACACTGTCAGTGCCGTGAGAGCACAGCTTTTTACATTACGGATTGTGACATTTCGAAACAAGTGCGTGAGAAGCCAAGGGGTAGTGTCAGTGGATATGTGCCCCTTAGACACGGTCCAGACCTTCACTTCACGTACCGTACTCTCGTACCCTCCTACCACGCATCATAGACTGGCACCACACTCTCGTCTCTCTCCGCAACCCACAGGTACACACGCACCGCGACCTCTTCGACCTTCCTACCTTTCCTAATACCAACTTTTCTTAACTCCACGCATCATAGACTGACACCACGCTCTCGTCTCTCTCCGCAACCCGCAGGTACACACACCGCGACCTTCCTACCCTTCCTAATACCAGCCTTTCTTAACTCCACGCATCATAGACTGACACCACGCTCTCGTCTCTCTCCGCAACCCGCAGGTACACACACCGCGACCTCGCCGCGCGTAACTGCCTCATCACGTCCGGCTACGAGGTCAAGGTCGCCAACATGAGCCTCACGCGCGACATCTACGCGAAGGAGTACGACCGCTGGCGCGGCACCGCCGCCGCCCCCGTCCGCTGGATGCCCCCGGAGGCGCTCGCCGACGACGACTTCTCGACACGCGCCGACGTCTGGTCGTTCGGCGTGCTCGCGTGGGAGGTGTTCACGCAGGGAGACCTGCCTTACAGCGGCCGCGCGGGCGACGACATTGCCGCGGGCGTCGCCGCCGGCTCGCTGCGCCTGCCCCCGCTCGACCAGTGCCCCGAGCCGCTGCACGCGGTGATGCGCGCCTGCTGGTCGCCGCGCTCCGCCGACCGGCCCTCGTTCAGCGAGCTTGCGGTCAGCATCGGCGAGATGACCGTCGACAGCGACCTGTAAGGTCATGCAAAGGTCGGGTGGATCACGCAAATGTCGCGAGGGTCGTGCGATGGTTGTCAAGGTTGCAAGGGTCGCAGAAGGTCGTCGAGATTGTAAGGGTTAGCGAAGGTTGTTAAGGTTGTGAGGGTCGCCGAAGGTCGTCAAGGTTGCGAGGGTCGCCGAAGTTCGTCAAGGTTGTGAGGATCGCAGAAGATCGTCAAGGTTGTAAGGGTTACAGAAGGTCGAGCATTGGGAAGGTTGTCAGGGTTAAGTGTTGTGAAGGTCGCAAGTGATGTGGTGGTCATGAGAGTCAGGGGAATTGTGAAGGTCGCTAGAATTGTGAAATTTGCTGAAAGTGTCCAGGGTAAATTGAAAAGCGAGGTTCACAGCAGTCTAGTTGCTAGTTTGTGCCACATGTTCGCGAGGCAACATTGCAGAAAACGCAACTCAGAACGAACAATGACGTTGACGACGATCGAAACTTCGCTCGCCTGCTTCCGTTCTCAGTACGGTTCTCCCGTGGCGACCTCTGGTGAGTGATTCGATAAGTGTCACTGGCACGTGTCGGACGTGTGGACCGGGCGATTTGCAACTGGACGAAATGCAACCAGAATTTTTGTAATAGGGGCACAAGTTTGTCGTTCACTTGAGACATACTGCCACTGAAATGACCCGTTTAGAGACTGATCGGGGAATCTCTTTAAAATCATGCGGAAACGATTATCGTTTGTCGCGCGCGTAATCAAAAAAAACTTTCGTAATATGCGTATTTGGAATGAGACGCAGCAAGGTGCGAGTCGTAAAAGAATGCTGGTAGTCCGATACATGGCGTGTAAATGACTCGATGTGGGCTGGGGGGGGGGCTTTGCTAAAGGCTAAAGTTATTTTTAAGCATAGTGTTTTAAACGACTCGCATTGTTAACAGTCAAACAATGTTATTCAGAATTCATGCATGTCTTGGTGTGTCTGTAGGCAGGATGTGCACCGCCATGTGATGAAAACCTTGTGTATTGGTTAGTATTTCCTATTCGTATGTTCCTACAAAGTTCCTATTTTTACTATCTGTATTAGAAAGATACCTGGAAACCAGAATATGTTCTAAGTATTGTACGTCCACGATTTATATCGTACGATTTTCGCTAAATCTGTCAGTTTAAGTGTGAGGGCATTGCCATATCCTTGGTGCATAAACTGAGAGGTTTGCCTTGCCTTGTTTACGCGAGATTTTCTACTCATCTACCGCATTTTCTCTACGAATATTGAAGTTCTCAAACTTATTCACAGTACGCGGAAGTCTAAATTCCGCAAACGAGTTTAATTTTGTATAATAACTGTAAAAAGTATAGTGTGACGATATAGTTGTTCTTTGTGAAAGCTGGAAGGCGTGCAGAGGTTGACACACACACACACACACACACACACACACGGGCGCGCACATACATACACACACGCACGCACACACACACGTGCACGCACGCACGCACGCACATAACACATGTATATTATATATCTTCTGTAATCAAATATTTTAGGCGTTGTTGAAAACTACACCTTTTCAGAACCACTCGGAAATAATGTTGCTCGTTGAAAACGATTTATATGCACCCTACGTGACGCGTACTGTAAAATCATCTCTGAAATGTTGTGTACCCTCTTCAAGACTGTCTCACGATATCTGTGATTAGGGATGTGACTGATATCACCGTAAGCGAGTAGACATATTTCAATATGACACTATTCGCTGTTGCTAAGGTGTGAATTCTGGTTATTCAATCAATTACAGAATGCTTGCCTGATATCGAATCGAGTTGATATCATCGTGATTAAATCGATATCGATTGTATATCATTACGGTGGAACCTAAATCAATTTGATATTAGGTACGACCGATTACGTAATACCATGAGTGTACGCTTCATGTGAACAAGTTTCCGTTCGGTGGTCTCTGTGAAGTGTAGGGCGACCAGTGTTCTTAATTCTGTACAGAGTTTCAAATCGCGTTGTTTCCTGTAAAACCGGCAAGTGAGCAAGCAAAGCAGCACTTATTTCTCCGCCCATGCGCCACCTTTGCGCACATATAGATTGTGATGTGGTGTGATCGACTTGTGTGACGTGCACGGTTTCCACTATTAGTATGGCTCATAGGGTCTATGTCACCCAGGGTAGTATCGGAGGGTACCCTGTGTACGGTTCTATGTATCGGAACGTACCCTGGTAACTATCTGATATGGTTAGGTTTAGGGTTAGGAAGTAGGCGTAGGCGACTCCCTAGACTCGTTAGTGGAGTAGGCGAGGTAGGGTCCGGCATATTAGATAGTACCAGGGTACGTTCCGATATATCGAACCATACCCAGGGTACCCTCTGATAGTACCCTGGGGGACATAGACCCTCTCAGCATTAGTGAGTGTACCGTGGCAAGGGTTGATATATAGCAGTGTATCGTAGCAAATATTTATTACATAGAGTCCCCTGTATGTGCGTCCTTATATATAAATATATACACCAATGTATCTTGTACGTGAATGCGAATTATTGCACTGTGTGCGCTAGTGAACCGACTCTGTTGATGTCCGTAGGTTCTGTCGTTATCTCTCGTTATTTATTGTGCTGCTTGTTTCTCTCTCTCCCATCAACATTGTAAACACTGCGTTCGTTGTGTCGGCTACATTTTTTTACATTTGTTGTAAATTGCGTACAACGCAGGAACATCAATTGAAGCGTTGATGTGAAATGTGGATGTTTATCGTGAGTGCAATCAACCCCGCCTGACTAGGGTTTGATCCGAGGTGGGGCCCGTTGTCAGAAACATATTAAGTAAGTCGTTATGACCATCGCAAGTCTAATATGTTGTAACATTTGCACGACACCCCACTTAGATATTTATGCCGTTTTAGACCTATGATATCAGAACTATTTATGATAGGCGTGTCGGGTTCCCGATTGCATACTAGCCATTAATTTGGGTGATTTTTAACTTTAAGAATTGTCTCATCGAAATGCACACGTGATTCTTTTATAAAGAATGAGCTTCGGGTTCTATTTTCTTTTTTATAAAGGTGAATTGTGTTTCGTCTTATATGCTATTGCAGTCGTTTTCTCCCCTTGTTGTAAAAAAATGTGATTAGTCTGTCATATAAAAAAAAACTTTAAACGTTCTGACATCTGATATAAGACGAGTGGTGACCGTAACTCATATTGTACACAACTTAACACTCTTCTACTTAGATGTCGAATCTCTTATTTTCTGTAGCTCGGTAGTTTTTATGTACTAGTGTGGATATTTTACGTATGTCTGTTTTCTATTTACTTCTTACAGTGAAATAAATAGAAGCTTTTACAAGAGTAAGTATGTTTTTTTTTCATCTTGTTTTCACTCTTATGAATTTCAGTATTGTCAAGAGTAGATAATAACACATTGTGTTATTATCTACTCTTGGTATTGTGTAGCCTGACTGAAATATAAAAACATGAGGCCCGTTTTCAGATACAAAATTAGTCTTAAAATTTGTCTAAACGTTTCTCGCTTAGACCACTGACAGAAACACGGTAAAGTTACGAGAATGAAAAAAAATCCTACCGAATTTACTCATAATTTTACGAAAGAAAATTCTGTCAAATGTTTAAGACTAATGTTTTGGCGGTTTGTTAATTTTGGTTCTGACAACTGTGCCCCCGGCCGTAGCTAGATAAAAGTAAGAAGGCTGTTCCCCACTGCCCCGCTCACCTCCCCGAGACCTATGGAACCTAATACGTATCGGTAATATCACGTTAAAAATCTCATCAGTATCATATAACTGAACAAGTGCCGCGGAGCGACAGCGCTCATCTCACGTCTACTGTGGTGACTCTGTGGTGGAGTGGTGGGATTCTAGTAAACCCTGTTAGTCCCAAATGTGTTCACATACGCGCCAAAACAGTGGAAGGCACAGGGATGGTATCAGGAAACCTTCTCGAAGGAATGTTCGTTGGATCGTTACGAAAGTTGCCGAGATGGCGCCGTACATTTAAGTGTCTTAAGATTAAAGATGGAAGCTCCATCGTACGTAGTAGCAACAACTATTTGCAAGACAGAATAGGTAAGCACTCATCCATTTACCAAGCAAGCCTACAGGCTGAAATAGAGAGCTGCCACCTGTAAACTAATTAAATGCAGGCAAAAACTCACAGTACTATCACCACCACATGCACTGGCATGGCATAGAGATGTAACACACTGACAGTACACAATGCCATAGAAATTATACGATTTAAGGAGCATAAACGCTTCTTCAACCAAATTTAGCTTTGAATTTCACTGTGACATTGTAGCCTCATACATCCAGGCATGTATAGATTCTACTAGCAAACCTGGCAGTCAAATACTTTCTAACAGTAAACAAATCCCATGTTTAACCCTCCTCTTGAGGGTCAAAAAGTTATCCGACACTTACTCTTCGCATGTCACGCGAAAGTACATTTCATGGTCCTTTCAATAAAGCCATAAAAAATGGTGGGTCAACTGCTGAAACAAAAAAGTTTTTTCAATCGCTCCGTCAGACGCATGTCCTCAGAAAATGTCTAAAATCTGCCCTGTGCCCCATTGACCTTTGACCTGTGACCTCTAATTTCGGCACAGTGATGACTGGTCGGGAGGAGACTGCGATACAGCACGCGAGGGAGCGAAGCACCGACGGAGCGACAGACCGACGACAGAACGAATGGTGGGATAGTGATTCGATCCACTGTGAGATAAACAGAAAGAAGAACATAAAAGGAGGAGACAAGAAGGAGGATGCATGTGGAGATGAGGTTGTTGATGGTGAGGATACTGAAGTCCAGTGAAGCGAACCAAGGCGGGGTTGTTTCGCGTTTTCACGTCGAAATTCGGAAGGATCGTCATGTCGCCGTTTTAGTGAGAAATCGCAGGGGGTACACTCAGTTAAATACGTGATACTTTTTGTACCCTTGTGGGTGGATCAGGCCGTGATCGGGCCCCACAGGGATGACACGTCGGGTCTTTTATCTCGACTGCTAGGTATGTTCCGGTATGACCAACCACGACAGTGACAGAAACAGCAACACGTGTTATCTCTGGATGGTGCGCACCCACAAGATGTACGAATCTAACTAACTTCAAGGCTCACGTGGCAGTAATAATACAATTCAAAGACGAATTCACTCGCTGTATACCTTTTAAGCGATAATACGTTATATAATAAAACCCATCAAATTTATAATATAGACAAGATGCTGCTTCGTGGACTCGCACTTGCGTAGATAATGCACGCCTACATACCTAGGAGGGAGAGAGAGGGGGAAATAGATGGGGAGAAGGCTTTGGCGAGCATTGTGCATGGATCTGTAGGTAGTGACAGTGTTTGCCATATTTTTACTCTCATATTGTGCTGTGTTTTATAGCCTGACTGAAACATATAACTATACAAATGCAAAATTATAAATAAACTGCAAACGAAATATATCTTAAGAGTACGGTTAGCTCATAAATACAGGTTTTAATATGTAACACATTCACGATAACAAAAATCTTTCTTCTCCACGATCAAACTGCAGCTGTGCACACAAGCAGGCACCGAGCTGAACCACAGACCCACCTTTTTTACAAACTTCACCTCACTGCAGCCAGATGGCGCAACCTATGCGCCACACCGTCCCCCACATTACGCACAATTGCACGTGGAAGCCGTCCCCCTCGCGCTTACTACTTGCTCCTCTGCTCATGCATCTCGGTGACAAAGGCGCGACATTTGGACATGAGAACCTTGATGGCCTCCGTCACTAGGACGTCCGGGGGCAGCACGCCCGTCGACTCCACCGAAACTGCAATAACGCGCAGGTATCAGGGTAAAAAATACAGGAGAGCGATGAGCGATTCGCTCTTCAAACGTGACAAACCTCCGAAATCGCTCCCGTGAGGGTCAAAATAGCTCCCATAAAATTTTTAAGAAGAGCTATTTTTTCCACAGACTTGAAAAAGAGCTCCCGTGAAAAAAAAGTTATTTTTTCCCTGGCAGGTACAGATGGCGTTAGCTGTCTCTATGTTCTAGCAAGAGAGGCGTGCGTGCGTGACAGTGATTTTCTCACTATAAACGGAGACGAACAAACTGCGTCGTTCAGTTATTTTGTAGAAGTTTACTAATACTGCTGACATCATAAGTTGAAATCGGACCCCGACTGACATGCACGGCTGATGACGTCACGACCTCATGCCGACCTTCTCTCGCAGACAATGGTGAGTTCGAAGCGCACGCCTACCCACCATCTCCCGCAGCATGCCGCGCTCTGCTGCGCTTCTCTCGCTTCTACTACATTTACACTTCCGACCTTACATTTACAGACATTTACGTTCGTCTCGCACTACTTACAGATGAAGTGGTCCCTGACGCGAGTCAGCGTGATGCAGTCCTTCAGCTCCTCGTGCCGGAAGACGTTTCTACTGCACATGTCGCGTCTTGCGTCGGCGACCCTCGCTCGCTTCACCCCTGTCGCGACGCAGACGCGTAACGCGTAAAGCAAAGTGACCCTCCACAAATCTCCCAACTGCCAACATATTCAGAACTCCATACGACAGCAATGTCGACATGACGACGACGCGAACGAGTTAGTGAATGTATGTACGTTACGTTGCCATGACAACTCGGTTGAACACCCATGTTGTTTGATTTGATTGTCTGAGACTCACCATTGGATTCCTCCACCTCTATGACCCCCGAAGAAAAACAGGTTTGCAGCAGTTCAGCTAGATCTCCTTCTACTGTTTTCACCAGTTTGATTTCGGGCAGAAGTCTGTAAGAAGCAGTTGCTACAAACGAAATACGAACGTATTACTGCAAATAGAATGTTGAGCTTATTCCGACAGTTTCAATCAATTTTCTTTGACAAACCGACCTTGTCATAGCCTTTTCAATTTTTCACAATAGCTAATGACTTACCAACTGGGGAAAACTTTGCGTGATCTTTTCCTATGCCCTTCACACAGTGTACACGGCAATCGATCTCCTGTCCTGGTCGTAGTTTAGCTATTAGAATGTCATCGTGTACTGGCCGGAATGCATTCTTACCATACTAGTAAGGATGAAGAGAAACCCGTTCTTGAAACAGCAAGACTAGAGTTGAATGCTGTCGAGTTGATCAAGATATTTGGATTCCACATGCACTGACTCACAATATAGTGAATGACGGTTTCTGCTAGAATAATTGATGGCTATCTTGACTTACTAGAGTAGAAGTGAGATTTAATTATTTAGTTCTTACTAGATCTGCTTGATTGCCAATAGGTATCCACTTCATATGCTTTGTTAACACTAAACAAAAAAAAGAAGGCAAAATACCTAGAACTTTAAAACCACATATTAGTAATAATATCATCTTTCCAATAGCACATTCACATTATAATATATATTAAGGAATGATAACGAATAAAGATAATCACAATTGATTAAATTTTAATGTTAACTTCAGAACTGAAAGCGTCACAATTATGCATGAAATGATATGAAATAATTACTTACAACATTATAGGGCATTTAGGGATGATACGTACCTTTATGATCTTTGAATAGCTCATCAGGATCTGTGGCATCTTTCGGAGCATGTGTATTTTTCATACATCTCACTTTTAACTGGAATTCAATTGTGTCCATTTCCGTAGGCTCTTCTTGATCTGTTGGATGCCAGCAGTGTGAAATCGTGCACAAAAAACCACACATGGCAGATAATAAAAACGCCGAAAACTCACCAAAACACGCTCGATTAATTGTTTTATCGCCACAAAAATGGTTATTTTTTGTTTAAAGAATAGCTAACCAAACCTAACAATGCAACCAGCCTCAATTAATATAGATTCAAACGTATTAGTTACCTGACTTGTACGAGTAAATTCACACAGCAAGAAGAATTCGGATATGTTCACAACTTCAAAGTTATGAGTAACAGTAATAGGGAGTAATGGGTAAATTCTTGTTACCTTCTGTTCTGTACTCGAAAAGCCGTGGATCAGCACATATAGGAATAAGTCCTAACCTGTGAGCTAGCACCTCATCCTGTATTATTGACGTGTTATTGTATATGAAAACCTTCTCCACAGCAACTGTTGGCACCTATACAGTAAAAACACGAGATGTGAGGTATGCAACCAAAAACACTAATAATAACATTTTAATTTAAAAATCAGATCAAATTTTAAATGTGCTTAATTTACTAAAAAAAGAAATTAGAGATAGCATGTCAAGAAATTATTTTTACTTGACAGGCAGATCAACAATGGCAATATTTTAGGAGTCCCATAGAACACAAGCTACACTATATATAAAGTGTCACATTCATAAAATAACTGTTCCAAGCACCTCAGATAGTAAAATCCTCCGGAATGCGTTGGCAATGGCAGTGTCTATTCCAATCATATCGAATTCCATCTCCGAGTCCGTTAGTCGCTTCACATCAATCTTAAAGTTCTGTAAGCAATGGAGAACATATAATAAGGTATATTATTCATCACAGCTTTAGCCAACATTAGCCAATATAGCAGATTAGTGCATCACGTGATAAATCGTTGAAATTCCATTAGATAACGCAGCAGGCACTATGAAGCAATAGTGCCCGCCTGAGCGGCACTATTGCTATCAGCGACCATTGTTATTATCAAGCATTGATGTTCACGTTGTAAACGAATCTCCTGCGTCCTGGGCGCCACGGCAAGAGTTCGAAAGGCGGTTGTGTTTGTGTCGGACGTTTTTGTTACAGGTCGAATGCAGACCGGCAAACTTAGGACGTATAAAGAAGGTATATAAGCATGAAAAGTTGCATTGCATAGTCCTGTGATGCACTAAAAACTTAATGCCTGTTGTTGGGGGCACTATGCCTCATAGTGTTGCTTTGGAAATAATAGTGCCCATCGCTAACGCTCGGCACTCATTCTTCCCTCAGCAACACTATGCATGAGAGCATAGTGCCCCCAACAGCAGGCATTAATATATAAATAACAAGACAATATTGTACGTATATAGAACTTAGATTAAGGAATCAAGGGGGGGGGGGGGGGGGGGGGGGGGGGGGGGGGGGGGCTGTCTAAAATCACAATCCGACCATCAGGAGCACAATGATCGACGATCGACGAACATAATCAATTAATTATGATGCTTAAATGAGGTTAAAATACTGTTTCAGATATTGGTAATCATAGAAAAGAAAGCTAGACAGAAAGAAAAAGAGCAGGTGCGAGAGCGCGAGCAGGAGGAAGGAAGGGAAGGAAAGAGAGAAAGAGAGACAGAGAGAGAGAGAGAGAGAGAGAGAGAG